TCCGTCTTTTTGCTACCGGGAGGCGCTGGACTACGTCTGGAATCCCTTCAGGGAAAGATTCACTCCTGAGGGGTTCTGGCGGATTTGCCACTCCGGGGATAGGGTATTCCCTCGCCCGAGAAAAGGTGCAACAATTGGGTGCCCAGTGCTGGACTTCGTGTAGTACGAGTTCCGAATCAAGCTCAATCCGGTCTCGAAACACGTCCCTGCCCCGCAACAGGTCCCAAGGCCGCGCAACTCTTTTTAATCCTTTTCGGCAGAAGTCTGCCCTCACTCCAGGAACGGGAGTTGTGTCCGTCCTGGGGCGGGCGAATCCCTATGGCTTCTTGCCACTGCCTCCCTTGTCCTTCGCGGGGTCACTCTTCGACTTCGCCGACGCTGACTTCTCCGCCTTCTTCTGCTCCTTTTGGGCTTTCCTCCAACCAGGAGGGATCTCGCAACGAGGCTCGTGCCGCTTCTTGCAAATCATGCACATCCTGGCCTTATTTGCGTCGTCTGTCGTCTTGTCGCTCTGGTCGTCAAGATCGCGCTTCCGGCCTCTACCGGGATCTGCTCCGGCCGGCCCTTTCTTCTGCGATCCTTTCTCAAGCCCTTGATCCGGGAAAGACTCCGGTTGGGCTTGGAGGAGCTTCCATAGACCTTCTCCATCCCCCAGCTCGGCGTAGTGGCGGAGCCCTGCACCCACCGAGCTTGCACCCTTTGCAACGACCTTCAGGACCTCGTTCATGATCTCCCTGTCGCAACGCCTGGCTTCGTTGATTGTCGGGGGCCTCATCCCATCTGGAACGGTTGCCCTCAAAGTGCCAATCAACTTTTCCTGATAGAGCATTGCATCCTGATGGAGAACAACTTCCATCATATGCCATGCCTTGGCCCTCAACTCGAGGACATCTTTCAGGGTCAGGATGTCGACAATCTTCGGAGTCTCTGGGAAGTCCTCATCCTTCTCGTTGAGGGTCAACTTCTTGTCGGAGATGACCACTTCCTTCTTATCTTTCGGCAACTTTCCAGCACGACGAAGCCTGCTCTCTGTCTCCATGTCAACGTATGTTTCCCATGGGAGATGCTGGAAGTTTCCCCCGGGGCCAAAGTTGTTTTGGACTTTGGTCAGGGTGTGCAGAGACGGCCTGTCTCTGTCCGACATCGGTGAGGGCATCCCAGAATTGATCGCCTTGTCCTCCAACTCCTGTCCCAAGGCGACCGTCACCTTCGACTTTGATTCTGGGTCCTCGCCTGCCATCCTTTCCATGTTCCTTTTTGCCACTTGATTTGCGTAAGCCCACAACTTGCGCAAGCAGCCTACGTCCTCCGAAGAGCGGTAGGTTTCCCAGCTTTCCACAGGATGCCTTGGAAACCCAGTCGCTGCTCCCCCATCCGGACGGTATGCCGCTCTGACTCGCAGTTGCTTCTTCAGGTACTCGTCGAAATCGGCGGCAGTGGGAAATCTGAAGGCCATTGCCTCCGAAGTGTTCACATTGTCCAAACCTAGAACCAGAAAATCCGATTCATGGACATCGAACGAAGCTGCTGCCCTTCCGAACGCGATAGTGGACTTCGCGTCGGCCATGGCTACTTAGAATTAGGACTCCCACTCGGGGCGACTGGGTGTAAGTCCCACTCGGGCCGCAGAAAACTCGCAGGGGACAACTCGTACGGACGTCTTCATCTAGCCGCACCTTCAATCACATCCAAACGAAAGGATATGGTTTCCCCCGTGGAACCTCCAGTTTTCTCATGTGAACTTGTAACCCCGAAGGATAGAGTAAACATGCAAACCGGGACCGCATGGCTGCATGGCTCAATAAAAATCCACCGGCGCTTTAATTTTTGCACTACGGTGTAAAGGTAAGGAGAGTTTCCTCCCGTCTCAGCGGCCATGGTTCTCTATCCCGCTCAGGCTCATGGCCTTTCTAAGCAGGTGTCCCATGAAACATGCACCTGTGCCCGCCCAGTTTCAGCTCGAAACCTGGATCCTCTGGGCTCACGTGGCCTGGCACGGCCTCAGGGCAGCAGCGGCGCGAGCAGCGGATCATGAAGCCCTTCCGTTGCGTCCTGTAGTCGCACAGCAGCTTGCACCCTTGGACCCTCCCGAAGCAGCGCTCACAAAGGTCGTACCCAGTCCCCCAATCCTCATCGAGGACGAGCCTGGTAAAGCGCTTTCCCACTGCGTTGCAAGCCGGCTTCTCCGCCAGCAAGCCTTCTCCGGGTTTGTGGATCCTTCCGTACCCCGTGGAGAGTTGGATGAAGTGTGGGCAGAAGTCGATGTCACCTTGCTCCGGATCGATGTATGAGTCGTCAGAGTCGCCACCTGAGCTCGGGAAGCTAAGGTCTGAGAGTGCAGCATCTGAGAACTCCTGCGCTCCTTCTCTGACAAGCTCTACCTCTTGGCTCACCAGGCTTCGCAGACCTTCTTCATCTCCTTCTCCTGCTCCACGAAGTTCAGCTCGCACATCCAAGGTCGCCGGCGCACGCTGGAGCTGCAATTCCGGATTCCCAGTGTCTGGGTTCTCGGTGCAGATCACGGCACGCTCCATGGCTCCTAAGAAAGGCTCTCCTCCTTGGAACTCGGGAACTTTCCCGGACCAGAGGTATTCGTTGACGGTGCCCCAGTCTGGCTTAAGTGGTCTATGATCCAGCGTTACGCCGGTCAACGACTGGACGGCTGCGCCTCGTCGAATCTGATCCATCACGCGCCACTGCGCTTTCAGGACAATACTCTGCGACTCTCGCAGGTACAAATCACTCATAGCCTGCGAAGCCTTCTTCCAAGCTCCTTGATACCTCACTGTGCGTGGAGTGATGCCAAAGTGGACCATGTAGGAGGGGATTGTGTTCTTACATGAATGCCACCTCAGCTTCCTAATCGCGGCCTCATCAAGCGGGACGTCCCTGCCTCGTTCAAGGTCGTCCATCAAGCACTTCTTGACAACAAGCGTATCCTCTGTGATCAGGGGAGGACACGTACGAAAACCTCCCATGCCGTCTGACGCACAGCCAACAAAATCGTGCTTCTTCCAACCCTCATCACCTTGGAAGCCGCTGGCCAAGTTGTGCATCTTGATCAAAAGATCAACCCACACAAAGAGCCACTGATCGTTGCTAGCAGAGACCGCCACCCACGCGGCAGCCCAAGGTCTGGGACCGCTTTTGGTGTAGGCGGCCTTTGCCCTCAACCCCAAAATCTCTGTACGTCCAACCGGCCGACACCACTCAACCGCGCTCATAGAAGTGCCACCTAGGTCGCTGTGTCGAACACTCGCCTGAATGCAGACTCTCAGCTTCCCACAGGCAACCCTAGTTTGAAGATCTCGCCCAGAGTCCAAAACTACACCCTCAAGGTACTCCAGCATGCCCACTTCAAAAAGGGGAGCCGGGTTTCGTTCAGGCGCCTTCGCAGAGTAGTCATTCGCCATCTTTCGGATTCTAGCGTGCCTCGGCCCCGGTGTCTCGAAACCGAAGACGCCACCGAAATGTTCAATAGCATACACCAAGCTCTGCGGGGTGCGGAATCCTGATCCATCCGAAATGAGCTGGAGGATGAATTTTTGCATGAAGCCCTCGCTGAAAAGGTCCTGGGGTGCCTTCTCAGGGTCACCGTGCTCCTGGTATGCGTCAACATAACGCTTGAGAAGTCTTGCATACCGAAGACCTGTTCCGGCCGACCGCGGCTCGGTGAGGATGTGGAATCTATCTTCCAACAACTCCCCACCTTCTACCACCGTCTCTACCAGGTCCATCTTTATCTTCAAGACAACCAACTCTTCAAAAAGCGCCTTGGACAAAGAACGGAAGGTCTCCAACTTCTCCGTCTCCAAGGGATTTGACCGTGAGGGCAACTTAATCGGAACGTAACCGCGGGTCTGATCAACAAGCTCCCATTCACGTTCGGGAGGCTCCGCCTTCTTTTTGAAGTTCTTGAAGATGCCACTCTCAACCAACTCCGTCATGGGTTCCGTGGGGGTGTACTCGAACTCAGACTCTACGGCCCTCTCACTCTTCTTGTCAGCTTCTTTCGCCTCAGGTTTCGCCCAGTCCGGTAAATTTGCCTCAGCTGGTGCAACGGCCTGCTTACGAAACGTCATGCGGGGTCCGTCTCCTTTCTTTGCCCACTCGGGCAGACCTGAAGAGTAACCTCCCGCAGCCGAGGTTGGAGATACTGACACGGGGCTCCCATGTCGCGGCTTCTCCCAGGGAGCTCCCTGGGGCGGTTCGGATCGGGATGTCGTAGAGCTCACCCCCGTATCTCTTCCTGGGCGTGGGGTGGCACTGCTCCCAGGAGTCGAAGAGCCAGAATGGGTGACCGTCGGCTCAAAAGGGGGGAGGGGAAAGTCTCCCTCCTCTCCCTTTCGGATCTCGCTCAGAATCTCTTTGGCAGGAACTCCTGCCTCGATCATCTTCGCGATTTCTACGCGGGCCGCCCACGCGCCGATGGCCATCAGACCAGAGGTCTTACCCAGCTTCGCGCTGCCGGGCCGAGGCGACAACGCTGCCTCCGACCTCTTCATCTGATGGCCACGTCCTCTCTCCCACCCATCCATTCTCCCCCCGCTGTAAACAACGAGGAGGATGGCTGGTGGGCTTCAAGCCAAAATGGCCACATTTTGGTTGTGCTAGACGAACATTCACGATAGTACCCAAGGGCACAACTGGTGAAGAAGGATACATATCCTGCAAGCGCTGGTGATGTCAACATCTCTTCTTTGGTTCTAAGTGAAGTCTCCATCTGAGACTTCAAGACTACTAGTTCAGATGTCTCCACAAGGTAAAAGTCTGAACTGACTGCAAGCTCTTGACTCCAACAACCCAAGGCCAAGGCAACCAATAGACCTGGCGTCAGAAATCCTGAAGGGCGCGAGCTGCAAACAGGATCATACTAAGATGTCCCATCATAGTTGAGAACCCCAAAAGCTGTTCCACAAATCCCCCAACCCCACAGCCAAGGCTGACCCAGCATTCCCAAAGCCCCTGCGGGGTCCTCAGGCTTTGCCAAGTACTTTGAGGGGACACTGATCAAGAATCTAATTGTACATATATAGTATACGTGTGAGACAAAAAAAGTTATTCAACGCGTCATCAGAAAGCTTCTTCAAGCAAGCAGCATGTCCAGTCTTTGAAGACGGACCAGTCTTGCTTTCTTTGGTGTTTACAGTAAGAACTTCCCCCACCCTGCTCCTTCTATAGTTTACCCCTCTTGATCCTTCTATAGGGCAGTCTTTAAAAACACAATCGCCTTTGCTCCAGCGACCACGACCTTCCTTTTTGTCGGACCATCCTTGGGCTGAACTGTCGGGACTTCCCCTGCCGCGATCGGCTGGTGGTTGGAGACTCGTTTTCGCCAATGGTGGCCCGCTTGTGCCGGGTCGGAGGGTACAGTTCTAGGCAGCAAAAACCAAACATTCAAAGGTTTTTGACTGCTCTTCAAGAATCCTGATGATAATTCCAGGGGGAGTGAACTCTTCTAGACTAAGCAGAGGCATCATTCAAAAAGACATGGAGGCTGAAATCAAACATGGACCCCTTCTGGCACCTCTGCTTCCTTGATGGAGTCGGGCGCTCTCCTCTGCCCTGATCGCACGCTTTCTTCCCACGGAGTCCATCTCAGGTTTTCCGTTCGTCCACGTGCTGTCCCAGTTCCCAGATGCAAGATGTGATCCATCTCAGCGTTGTCAGCTTCAACAAAGGTGGATTGCCGCAGCTTGGCCATCTTTCTTACGACTAATGACTAACTTGTGTTCTTTCACAGACCAAAAAAAATGCATTCTCTCCAGCTGTCCAGTCACTCTTGCGGCCTTCTTGCCCCAAGGATGTGCCAAGTAGCTGGTTCCTTTGCTCCAAACTTCCACAAGCACCGACTGGCTCCCAACATCGGGCCGTGCGGGAAAAACGCACGTCATCATGGCATCATGTCAGTTGCCTTCGGTCGTTTCCGAAGAAAAACAGCCAGTTCCACCGAGTCTCCACTGCTTCCACATTAGCGGACCGCCTCATGAGTCATTGATAGTGATAGTCTACATGCCGAAAATGATAGTCATTCAGTTCGCCTCATGATAGTCATTGATAGTCATTGATGTTTAAAATCCCCTCCGCCAACCGGCGACCCAGGAAGAAGCCTCCGACCAACCCCAGGCAACTCCCCACCCGCCGCGCCCGGCGGCGTCGGCCAGGGGTGTGCACCGCTGGAGTCGCCTCCGGCCTCGGGGCACGTCGCGGCGGGTTAGGGTAGGGGGTGCCCATGGGTTCGGCTTCTTCAACCGGAGGCGTCTCCAGAGGGTCAACGTGTCGCGCATGCGGCAGGACCGTGTCCAGTGTCTTTTTTCGGATACCACTGTTGCCCGGGTTGGCCGGCTGTTCTTTTTCTGGTCGTTCACAGCTAGTGACACTCAGCTAACATTTGGGTGTCTAGTTTCATACAAAAATCACCCGAGAAAGGAGCGTTTGGTCCATTCAAAACATACGAAACCAGGAACCAGACCCCTTCCAGGAACCTCCCCCCAATGGCTTTGGGCGGCGACGTGGCCCAGCGCGGCACCGTCGCGACCGGGTTTTCGCTGGAGGACGTGGAAAGGATGCCTCGGTTGGCCGGACGTGTTGGTTTTTTTTGCGTTGTCCGCCAAACGTTTTGGATGGGCCACGCACCGTTGTAGTAAGAGCACGAAACCAGGAAGTAGAGGGGGCGATTGAGTGCCCTGCTTTCTCGGGCTGTATGGACTGTCCGTCAGGTCGTGGTAGATTAGACTGGTTGGTAGCGTGCGAAGCCTATGCTGAACCGAGTGTTTATGTGTCGTGGAAGCACCACCAAGGGAAACGCTCTACGCCGAAGGCCCTCGGGAAAGCAGACTTACTTGGGGATCTTTCGGTCAAATCCGGGTCTTTCAGCCAGAAAAGAACTGATGGACCTTTCGCATGCTCTTGAATGCTCTTGTGTGCAGTGGTTTCTGTTCATCTTCTTTGTACCCAAAGGGGAGCTCGATGTCCATCCTCACATGAGGTCCGTCCACATGGGTCGCCCGGGTCCTTTTTCAAGGGAAGTCTCCGCTCTAAGATCCGTACTCTCCCATCGCTTCTGCATGCACTGGTTCCTCCCCAGAGCAGGCAAGGTTGTCGCTTACATCACTTTAGGATACTTTCCACCCCCTTCATTTGAGCCAACCAGCCGAAAATTCGTGGCTTTTTGCTGCACCAGGTTTTTTAGGAAGGCACCTTCACATGAATCCAGCAAAAAAGGCTGTGTTCTGGTAATCCTTCTGGGTTGCTCGCTCAGTGGTTTTGACGAGCAAAGGCACCACCTCGGAAACGCCTCAAAAAGGACCTCCTGCCAATAGCCCTTCTTTCTGATTCTCCTCACTAATTCTGCGGGTTTTCCATGTGTTATTCCTGTGCTAGAGGGTTCATCTCTATCATTCCACGACCACCAGAGTTCTTTTGTTGGGTGTCAAAACCCTTGAATCACACCTGGTCAGTTCGACTGATGTTGCTGTTCGCTGATGCAACTTGGACTGTCCGGCTCGAGGTGTTCAAACAGGGCCCGCCTGTTGCCTCTCAATGTTGCATTGTAGGTGGCCTCCAAAGCCTCATCACCGGCTCATCAGAAACGACACTTTTCTGCATGGAAACCCCCAGAGGCATTTCGTTTGGACAGATGGCAACTCGTGAAGGGCCATACATGGATGGTCGTTGGATCACAAAAAACGGAAAACCAACAATGTCATACATTCCAGTCCAGGTAGTAAAGGATGTGTTCTATTCCGTTGCACGTCCTGGAGCTGACCGGTGACTGAGTTCAGCACCATCCTGTCTGCATGATTCAAAACCTGGCCAGAAACGGAGCTTGGGTTTTCTTGAACCAAAAATCTTGTTTTTTCATCTTCGGCTGATGTGAGCGCCATCACCCAGAGAGCCACAAAGTGTGATGCAAATTGTCAATCTACTGACAAGTCCGCCCGCGCCGAAGGTGCTGAGGGGCGTGATACTTTTGGTGCGCGTTCATCACTATGACTATGTAGCTTTAGGGGTGGAACATGTTCGTTTTCAAACGAAAATGCATATCCTGCATCATGAAGTGTGTCTAGAAGACGAGTGGGAGTGGGAGAAAACATTGAAAATCACATGGTTGTCACACATCATCTATGTCTGACCATGACCATGTTATGATTTGCATCACTAGGTCCATGAAAGGCAAACAAACGACTCCTCTCAACAGCCTATGTCTGAATATCCAGCTGGCTGCAATTCTATTGTTGATTACTGTAGCATATGCGTCAGCTGGTTGCAATGCATGGTTTACTGTACAAAATGCCTGCAAATAAAAACATAATTGGGACCCCCTGACAAATGTACAGCTTCAAGGGATTCGAAAAATATATCGAACAATGCTTGCAAACATGTTGTAAGAGGGTCCACAAATAGAGTGATTGTAGACACTTCTCTGTATATTATTCATCCACTTCATGCTGCGTTCATCAACTTCAGTGTTGTGTCGATCATGCACATTGTACAGTTCATTGAAAACATTCACTCTATTTTGTTGGACCCCCCTTGAAATGGTACATGTTTCAGGGTGTCCAAATCATGTGCAGCGCATATAATTTGGACCCCCAAGTACCATTTCAAGGGGTCGAAGAAGAGATCAGACCATGCTTGCCAAATGCAAGTAAAACATCACTAAACAGCATGTGATACATAAACAGTTTAATTTAACATACTAAAACATAACTAAAACATAACTAAGTAGTTTTATTTTAGGGTCCAAAAATCGTCGAGTGATTATAAATACTCCTGGTAACCCTCTCTCTGAGAGCCACTGGTGCAGGCGGTTGTCGTCGCGAAGAGACCTGAATACAAAGGTAAGAGCCTAGGGGTAAACCAAGCCGGTAGCCAGATTGTTCCAAAAAAACATACTCTACTGCTTATATACACATCATGTTATACTAGCGTAGTATATATGTCACTACTACCTACTACCCGGTACAGCCATTGTGGTCATCCCTTTGATATGACCAGCGACCCGCGAGACCCGGCGCTTTCTCACCACCGGCTTTCTCACCGCGACCCGACCGCTTTCGGTGGATCGCCGGCCTTCAGCAGTTCGCGGGCGACATGCATTCCATAGACCTGGCCCCCAAAGAAAAGAAAAAGGAAGGAAGAACGGTCGCAACAAGAAATCCCATAGTAATCCTGCGAATCGAAAAAAACTGTGACTGGGGGCGAAAAAATGAGTGATAAAACATGTTGATGCTTGCAACAAACTCCTCAGTAGCAACTGCAGAACTTGCTTTCTCTTTCAATCTCTTGTTCAAAAGTCTACAATCTCTTGATCAAAAGTCTAGCCTCTTTTCTAGCCACACAAATGCCCGTTGTCCTCAAGAGAAGAGGAGGATGCAAGGTTTAGTTGAATTCTCATGCTTGCTGTGGGTCAAGATTCTCCTTGCCCCCTGCGCTTCAACCAGTTGGAACTGCAAAAACCAGAAGAACATCTGTAGATCGCCCCTCGTCCTTGTGAGTCTCAAAATTCTGACCATTCTCTATCTCTTGAAACTCGCCCTGTCTGAAAAGCGCTCCCAGGCTGCCATTGGGCCCCCGTGTTCTTCGGGCACCGTCGACATGAGCACGTGCGACTGCTCTCTCTTCGCCAACTCTGACACCACTTCCACCCACAAGGTGCCCTGCACGAGTCCATCGAGCAGCGAACGAACGCGCGCGCGCGCGCGGATCGACTCCGCGGACAGTGAATGACATCTGTAATGGCACTTGTTACTGCTAGCGTGGCACTTGTTACTAATCGAAGAAAGCTGGCAGGCCTTGAAGATGAAAGGCAGACATCACACCAGACGGTCGCTTCCTACACACACTCCAGCAAAGAACCAGGCCTCTGGTGGCGCAACCTGTAGCAAATATTCCACCTCACACGTGAGCCGAGAGGGTGGCACATTCCTTGTTGCCACATAGACTCACCAATTTCTGACTTGTGCGACTCGTAGGGAACGAGGGTGGCTGGGTCCGAAGCTCACTCCCTTCTTCCCTAGGAGTCGCACCAGTCAGACTTTTTAGAGGACGAACAACCCGTTCTTGCCTTCGCAGCTAGATCCTGTTCAGGGGGACATGGATCACCTACCATCACCATCACAAGCTCACACCCGAAAAAAGAAGATGGACCCTCCAACAGGTGTTTGCTGGTGACAACAGGTGCCCAGAAACCACCTGTTAGGCTTCTAAAACCACCTGTTGGAAGGTCCTGGAAGAGAAATCAACTCTTTGAGCTTTCTGGGCGCCCCCGACCACGTTGGAGGAAAATTTCTGCAAGCTCAGCTGCAGGAGCTTCCCTCTCAAGGCCTCACGCACGTGGGGTGCCGGCACGGGCGGTTTCGCCGGTTTCGCAACGCCGAGGTGCTTGGGAGCTACCGATGTCCAAATGTGTGACTGAAGCGGTCTAAACATCCAAACTGTTGCAGCTAGAAAAGGCAGCAATGAGCAACCGTGCGTGTTAAGTTTCAACCCTCCTAAGCCGTAACCCTCCAAAGTGGGTAGTAGGGATACAAAAATTATTTGAATGGATATCTCCATGTCTTTTAAAAACATCTGAACATCATACATCCCAATTCCGGTGAGTGCAGTGGTCACCAATCGGTGCGGCAGACTGTAGCGAGTGACGCGGCAAACGAGGAGGAACTCACCAGTGAAAAATCCCAAAGAAACAAGACCAATTGAAGACCAATGGCTATACAGAGAAATGTAGAGAAATCACTCTGGATAGGAAAGCTGTCGCCTCTCCAAACACTTTTGCATATCACAGCTGTACAGGATTTATCCATCAAATTACATTACTCGTTCCGTTTGTGTGCCCAAACTTCAGGCCCTGGAAGTAGGTCGTCGCTGTTTTCCGCTGTCGCAAGACCGCGGTCGTCCGCCGTTCCAAATCGCTCCCCTCGACCAAAAAAGCCATCACCCACTGGGGTGGGTGTGACACTGATTCGTCCGTTGGATACACCAGTTAGCCACTTGGACCTGGCCAAAATGAAGACATACGGGTTGGGCCAACCCCATCACCCACTGGTACCAAATGTCTCCTTCTTTCAGCCACTGTTCCTCGTTCGTTTCGGTGTGGTCCGATGCGCCTGGATCATAGGCCTGCACCTTGGGTACCGTACCCAGTACGGTCCACCCGCCGTTCAGAAAGGTCCAGGCGGTCCGGGCGCGGTTGGTTGGATGCCAAGGGCGTTCTCCGTGGGCGATTGAAAAAATCACTTCGGGTTGATGGCCAGGTGTCCAACAGAGCAGGTTTGGGTCACCTGTGAAGGAATTGAAGGAATTGAAGGAAGGTCAGCTGAGGACATCTGCTTGAGCCACAAGAGTTTGAGCGTTGCATCGTGGTGAAAGGTACGATCGGCGCCGAAATCACCTGAAATTGCATGTCTTTCTGCTCTCTCCTAGGCGAATCGTCGAATATCACGCAAGATCAATGTGGTTGCCTCCAGGTTCTGCAGCACGTGCTCACACCCCTTCTTCCGCCGAAACACGTGGCCACACGCCCAAAAGAGTCGAAATCGGGCTCCGCACATCTCCACGCCCCACTCCTGTAAGCTGTGCTGCACCACGTAGTTCCCATAGGGACTTTGCACCTGCAGGTCGCCCGTTGGACCATGTTTGGCCCCTAAGAATCCGAGTCCGGCCTCGACACCGTTTCACGCGGGGGTCGGACCGTCCGGGCAGGAACCAAACCCTATCTGTTGCTTCGGGCCCGGAGGTCTTAGGGCGGTGGAACCAATGGAGACCTTCGGTGGAACGAAAAGGCGCACGGACCGACCCCGCACGGCGGCTTGGGAAGGCCGCTGGAACAGCCGCGGAAGAAGGACGGTGTGGTTCGGAGGGAGCCTGGTTTGCTTCCGAAAACCCCCCCGACACAGACCACAAACACCCCAGCTGGGAGAAATGGAACCCCACATGCTAAGAATTTCTGTCACATGAACCTCTAGGTCTGTCCACCTGCCCACACCAATCAAAACACTTCATCGGCCTCCAATCCCATCCCGCTGCAGTCATCAATCGTCAATGCATCTCCCACCCCAACTGGTCGGGGTTAATAATCCGCACGTTTCAGGTACAGTAGCCTGACAAGGTCATCCCCTTGCCACTATTTCAATGCCAAAAACGGTGACGACCATGGTCGGACATGGTACTTCGATGCATCCAAGGCACCAGGTCAAGGGCTTGCTTCGACATCTCTTGAATCAAATGTTGTTGGCCCGGTCCGGACCTCCATGTCGACTCAGAGCGAAATCTCGAAATGCTTCGAGGGAGGGCATTCGTGGGTAGCTAGAAGGAAGCTACTAGTAGTAGTGCCCGTGGTACTAAGTAGTAGCGATGCACTTGTTACTACTATTACAGTAATACTAACACCTTCTTGCTACGGGGGTTCTCGCCTCAGTTTGAGGGAGATATCACAGCTTTGAGGGGATTGAAGTTCAAGAGGGAGACTCCCTGGCCCTGGCTGATCGCCCTGGTCCCAAACAAGAAACCGATCTCCAAACCTCAAATCCGACCTCCGAAGACGGCCCAACTTCTGACGACTGGACTTCCTCCAAGCTCCCCACAAGAGCCCGCCAGATGTTCTTCACCACAAAGCCTATGACTATTTATTCTGTGCCGGTCTGTACCTTACATTACCTTAGCCCCTGAATTCCAGCCGATTTCAACAATGCTATGACTAGATGGTGCTAGAGTCGAACTGGACTTTCGATGGCTAGGCTGGATCTACTCGATCCTCCGATCCAGATCCGCCGATCCGTCGCGTGGGTCCCGGCCTCGTTTGAGAGATGCATCGCTTTAAAACGCAAAGACCATGTGGGCTGTAGGCCACCTGCGGTCGCGGAAACGGAGACGGAGCACGGCCCGAAATGCCGCAGGCAACGGAGAAGGGCCGGGAAAGGGGGGGTCCATTGTTAAGACGAAAACCCCTTCAAACAACTTCAAGGTCCAAACAGGGATTGCAGGCGGGCCAGCTCAAACAGGACTACAGTCGTCGCAATTGGCTTCTGTGGAAGGTCTGCAAAGTTTGTGGGTCTGTGCAAAGCCAAAGTCAAAAAGGTGTCATGTTTTCCGCAGGTGCTTGGCAAAAATATGTATCTGAAATCCTACCACCCCCACTAACACACTCGGGGCGTATTGCTTGGAGCAGGATCTGGCCCCTCGCCATGTGCAGAAATGTGAGGCTGGCAAGCACGATCCAGCTCGTCAGCCTCTCTCACCATGCGGTGGCACGTTACCACACTCCATTCAGACTCGTTCATCACCCGCTGAGGGCGCAAGTTCCTCCCCGGTTCCACCTGGCCCATCATCACTTCATGACAATTCGGGCGAGCTATGTCCAAAACCTGGTAGACTAGTAACAAGTGCATTGTGCATCGCTACTAGTAGTCAAGTGCATCGCTACTAGCAGCTTCTTGTTACTTGTTGTAATGCACTTGTTACTAGCAGCGACACTGGTTACAAACAAGAAGCTACAATCACAGAAAATCCCCATCCATTTCGGCGGTTTGGTTTTGGGCCGTAGCTCAGGCGCGGCATCTTGCTATCCGCGCATCTCCATGCGACGAATCAACGCCGCTTCGCGTCCTTGTGCCGCTTCGCTTTCTCTTAAGCTCATTCTGGTCCTGGTTACTTGGTCAAGAAGTTGCACTGCCTGTGCCACCTATTTTGCGTCTGGAGATAACTCCTCACGATGTCATTTCGATCCACCTCTGATTGCCCTGCTCGTGCACCTGCTCGTCAGCTGGGATGTTGAATACACCACGCTTCCTCTTGCAATAAACGCTTGGGACGTGGCAACATTGAGCTTGCTGCGCTTGCTCCGCAAGAAACCTCTCCAAGTTTCTCGCACCCGAGGCCACTGGCTGCATCCCTGCTCAAACGACTGCCACGGCCTGCTTGGTGAAAAGCGCCTAGCTCCGAAAAACCACTGGCTGCCCAAGCAAACCACCACACCACGCACGAAAACCTTCTTCCTCTTGCAGGATTTCTCAGCCTCTCAGTTTGGTTGCCTTGAGACATTCCACGCACCAATAGACAGAATTAAGGAAACCTCTCCATCACAGATCTCGGGTCAACGTCCAGTTCGGAAACTAAAAGGTTGGGTTCGGAAACTAGGCTTCGGAAACTCAGAACGTGAGTTTCGGAAACTCAAACAAGGGGTTCGGAAACTCAAACCAGGGGTTCGGAAACTGGAAACGTGAGATTCGGAAACGCGAAACGTGGATTTCGAAAACTTGGATTTGCTAAGACTAGGGCCTAGGGGTTTGCTCAGACAAACATTACGTCAATAGCCCCCCACCCACCACCCCCCCACCCACCCCCCACGTACTTGAAGCAATCAGTGTGCCCGAAGAGTCAAAAGAAACTGGGTCTCTGAATGCGTGCAAAAAACTTTCTGAACCTGACCCAAATAGTTTCTGGAACCACCCAAAGTAGTTTCTGAACCTGGAGTTTCTGAAACCGACAAAACGAGTTTCTGAACCTGCAGAAATAGTGTCTGAAACCGACAAAGAAAGTTTCTGAACCTGACAAAAGGAGTTGCTGAACCCGGCAAAAACAGTTTCTGAACACGACAAAATCAGTTTCTGAACCGTAGTTTTTGAACTGTAGTTTCTGAACCCTTGGTTTTAGTTTCTGAGCCCTAGTTTCTGAACCCGGAACAGTTTCTGAACTTGACTTTGTTCACAGATCTCGCACAGATCTCGCGTTCCTCCCTCCTCTCCTCTCCGGTCAGGTCCGCAAAGGACTTCGCGACTCCCACACAACCACCAACACAGGTTGAAGAAGCCTATATAGACCAGCCTTTTTTGGTACCCGATCAGTGAGGGGTCCTACCTACGGTCACCAAAAACCTCTCTTTTTCAAGTCCTCTCATGTGGAACAGCCGGTCCTTCCAAAGCGCCAAGGTGAGATCGTGCAACAAGGCATCGGGGCCTGACACGACATTCGAAGGTCAGGCACGTTCGCGAGCGAAGCTGGCGAGTTCGAGCAGTGGCAAACAAAGTGGGTAGAAACGGTGCAACAAAACACCCAGGATTACGACTTGAACGAAAGGCTCTTTCCAAACACCAAGTGGAGTTTCCAGGTGTTCGGGTGCTTTTAGACCCAAAGAACTCTGGATCATGGGTCTTGCTTAGGGTGGGCCCCGAACTCGTCCGTTGAGACTCCTCAAAGAAAAGCACAGCAAGGGAAGCTTAGGGATGTGTGCAGCAAAACACCTTGAAAACGAATGGCGGATTGTCTGGTCCGTTTGAAGTTGAAGGTTCCTTCACGTTCGACTCTTGGGCTCCGTATATCAGCACATCCTCACCTGTGATATCTGCTTCGTCCACCCAAAAGAGATCGAATGTATTCGATGGTCAACACATGTAAACACCCCTATTCTCAGCAGTCACCACCTCGCATGGTGTGGCGAACCGTCCCATCCGGATGTGACCGGACCACCGGGCGAGTCACCGACGGCGGCGCCGCGTCTGGGGCCACGGGCAAGGTGTGCCCAGGCTGATGATGGCCTGAAGCGGAGCGGACAAATCGAGTAGTAATGACAGGAGCGCCCCTACTAGCGAAGCCTAAGAAGCTGCGATGCCCTTTGTTTCTAGTAGCGATGGCCTCCAACCTACTTGCGATGGCCTCCACCTAATGGCATCCTTGTTGCTGGAGCGGAACGATCGGATCACGGACCGCGACGAGGCATACAGCTTTGCTCCTTTTTCATCCAAAATACGACTCAGACCCATCCGTTCGGCTTGACCAACCCCTGTTGGCTCCATCATGCTCCATCCATCCCAAGCCCGGGATCCCCCACGCGCTGCACCACATGGCTTCCGTGCTGGTCCAAGCTCAGCTCCACCGCGTGCTCCTGCCACAGCGGGAAAACCCGTGCCACCTTCAGGGTGCTCGCCCCACATCCACAGAACCCGAGTCGCCCACGTTGGGGATCGCTGCCAAAACGGAGATGGGATGGCCAACGGCTGGCCTTCAACGCCAGGAGTAGAATCCTCTGCTCGTCGTTGGTGCAAACAAGGCCTCATTAGGCGGATCTGGATGCTGCGACCCACGTGAGACCGTGGTATTTTGCTTGTTGCCGAGATGGGTGTCCAACGGAACCCCACCCCAAACCACCAAACCACCACAACCCCCTCACCTGGCTCGTCCCGATCCACCTGCGCTCCACCTGTCCACCTGAGCCGCCCCAACTCAGCAGAGACTGCATCGCCTCAGCCGCCCCGACCCGCGGAGGACCGATCGATCGACCTGCACCCGACGCTGCGCTGAGGGAGCGAAGACTCGCAGAGGTCAAGCCTTCGGTGGGCCGGCCGACTCGCTCGGCAGTGGTGTCGAGAAGCCGACTCCAGGCTCCCTCTTCGCTTTTCGGTCGCAAGGCTCCCGCGGGTCCCACGAAATAGTAACCAGAAGCTAGCAAAGGGCATCGCTTCTAGGAGCAAGAAGCTACTAGTAGCTCCTGGCCATACTACTAGTGACAAGAAGCTACAGGAAAGGGCATTACTAGCAGTAGCTCTTCTGGCATCCCAGTGGCATGAGTGCCCCATCTGTCCTTTGCAATCATGAGCAAATTCCGAGATGAGATCTCCAGCCTTGCGGTGAAGGCGTTGAGCGCCAAGGTCTTTTGAAGATTACAACACTTGATTGCGCTGTATCCAAAATGATTTGAATGCCAAACTGTGATGTCAGAGTTTCCTGTGCTATTGCATGTTCAAGAGTTTCCTTCGCTTCTGATGGCAAAATTTCAAAGAACGGAAGGCTTGGAGCCGCGCATCCTCAAGCGCTGCGCTACGGAGCAGGATTGGAAGGCGGCCGAGCACAAATAGTTGCCATACCTGAAATCAGCATTTCTGGTTCCTCTGGTCCTCTTGGTTCCCTTTCTCTCTGGGGTCTATTCAAGTGCGCTAACCTTCAACAGCGGTCTATCGCTCGAAAGTCACATCTCCCACCCGATGCCCTGGTCCACCGAGCTGCCTGCCTCACCCACTTCCGGTCACCCTCTGCTGCTCCCTCTCGGGCGGCCACATGTTGCACATGATCTCGGGCAGCTCGGCTTCGAGTCCCTCCAGGATGTCCTGAGACTGGTCAGTCGGGTCCGAGTCTTCGGACGCGGACCGTGGCCAAACACCGGACCAGCTCGGACCAGCGGGGATCAACCAAACCCGCCCCCCCTGTTTCACCCCCATGTCATGTCCCAGGGCGCCTTTTTCAGGAAAGGGCGGGAGCAGAAACAGAACGCAACATGTTAAAGACACGGAAAAGGTGATCTTGGCCACAACCAAGAGTGCCACAACCACGTCGAGACCTCGGTCCTGGATCACGCTGGGATGTGCCTTGAGGAGTTTCTTCTGCAAAAGTTTACTCCCCGCTTGGGTCTTGGACATCTCCGCCTCGGACAGCTCACGGCACATCGACGGCAAGGACTCGACGGACCAACGGCTTCGACCAAGGCTTCTTTCTTCGACCAAGGTGAAAACCCAAAGCAGCTCCATCCGGGATCCCGGCAACAACACTGCTGGTCAGCTGTCCTTCTTGCAGCCTCGGAAAGAGCGGGTCATGAAAAGCTGCGAGGGGTGACCCGGGTCTGGGTGGCAGGTTAGGAATGCCTCCTCAAACAGGCAAGCCACCAGAGATCGCACCCAGAACTTCAAGTGGAGTGGGGAAATTAGGGTGTTAGTAATGTTGGGAGAGTGACAGCCCGGATGCTAGCACTTGCTCAGCCAACTGTTTGAGGTATGCTTTAAAAGGTAACACAAACAATAAGTAGATACCCCAAGTGCTCGACGTTCCCGGATGCTCCGTCTTTCAGTGCATGATTCAGGTGGGTTGGTGAGACAATGCATTCATTCCCTGGGCTGCACGTCAAACATGTTTCGACGTGGCTGTCCACACTCGCTGGAAGGAAACAGGGCATGGTGGAATAACGTTTCTCGCTGGGGCGAATGTTCGCATCTTTGCATGTAAATGACTGGACATGTTGGATTGCTGAAGAACTCCAGGTCAAAATCTGCATGGAATTCTCAAGTTCGCTGCTGCCACGCCCCCATTTCTCTTTTGTTTTTATGTGTCTACCACACCGGCATGTACTCGAATCGTCATAGTCATGACCATTTGGGGGCCATTCTACTGGGTCATACCAGTTGGGCATTGCTATACATAGCCGCCCCTCGTGCAGGCGTCAACTCGTGACTCGTGCTTCATACTGCTAGCAATCGGCCTCCGTACTTCTGTCTTTGTCCGGTGAGCATTCAAGCTTGACGATCCTCCCAGCATGCCAGACATGCCAGATGACCTAACTCGGATGGCTTGAGCGGGGTTGACGGTCTGTTCGGCCCTCATGGGCCCCTCCTTTCAGCCCCTTTCAGCCCCTGTCCCTTCCTCCCCTGGGCGTCGCCACAAGGCTTCCAGTGAGGCCCCAGAGATTGGAGCGCTCTCCCGCCGCTGCACCACCGGTCCGACACCGTCCGGGACGCCTGGACCGCTCCCAGCGGCGGGACCGCGGTTCTTTTTGCTGCGCCCGGCGGCGTCCGGTGTTCAAGCAGAATGGACCACCAATGAAGGCACTAGGTGCACTACATCACAATTCATCGATGTTCTCTCTCAACATGTTCTTTCTTGTTCAGAAAGGCAACGCAAGAAGGATCTAGGCAACGTGCACTCTCTTGCTTACGTGGCCATTGGTGAACGCGGACGCCATGGCCAGGAAAAATACCATCCTATTTCGTCTACAAACCATGTCGACGTGCCACGTGGTCGGCCGATGCTTTCAGCCAGTGGATCCATTCACCCATGTACCCCCAAACAAGGCACCACGGTCACCATGGGTCCTCACAGACCCGCGACGCCGTGACGATCCGGTAGATGAAATCGGAAGTCTTCCTGTTGATTCTTGGGGCTTTTTGGCAGCACCCCCCACAAAATGGCTGGCCCGAACCAAGTCACAAACATGCAGAGCTACACATCGTCAGATCGGAAATCTATCGTTCCATCAGCAGTGTCTCATGCTACAGCAGCACCTTTCTGATACGAAAGAAAGGAGAATCGTGCTGAACGAACTGATCATTGGTCTTGACACCTGGGATACCCGTCATACCCTTCGTGGAAACACTGTTCTTCTAATGGCCAGCCCGATCCTCAACTAAGAAAAGAACCAGGCGTCAGGGTTGAACTTGCCTTCGCAGTCTCGTTGTTTGTTGAGTGCCATTTTCCAATCTGGCAGACAGGATCCGGACAAGAAACTTTGTGCATGTGTGTGTGTGTGTATGTGTGCTTTCGTGTGCGTGTGTGTGTGTGTGTGTGTGCACCAAATGCGCCGTGCTTTCATGTATGCTGCTCTCTATGTGTGCTAACTAACCCAAATTTGCTCTCATATGTGTTTCATGCTATTATGTTTTCTCATATGTGTGCTTTCCACCTGTGCTCACAAACGTGTTTCACGTGCTTTGTATTTAATTGCAGATTATCAGGTCACTCCTAAAGCAAGCAATCGCAATTGTGCTTCATCAAATTTTACAGTGCCTCCACATGAACAAAAGCCTCAACAATCCGGAAATATTATACAGTATATAGTTTATACTTGTACAAGCCTGCTTTACTCGGGATGTGAGCGCAAGTGTACAGGAAGGGATCGAAACTTATCTTTCTGTCAACAGCTATTGAAGTCTCGAGGCAATATGCATGACAGAAAGGACAGTCCTCGCATCCATCGAGCAGCTTACCCCTCTGATTGGCTTTGAGATAGTCTGTCAATTTCATCTACATACCCTAGGAGTTCAAGCCTAAAAAAAGATTGTCTTTAGAAGATCCGAAAAGGAACTTCCTTGACTTCAGTGGTGCCAAAGCTAGTCTTTGGACATAGATCTTACTTGGAAGAATCGAGAATCTCAAAGGACTGTCGCCGGGCGGGAATCGAATGTCGCTCTTTTCGGGCGGCTTCCCTCGCGGCCTGGCCTCGTTCACTTTTCAGATAGGAAGCGAACAGAGAGAGGTTTGCCGCGTTCGCATCATCCAATTCCCCGCCTCAGAGGGCTTTGCCGGGGTTGTCTCTCATGTGGGACGGGAGGCCAGGTGATTCGGAATCTGGAAGCTGCCTGCCCAGTGGCGCCGTGCTCAAAAAGGTTGAAGGGATAGAAATCCTGATGGAAGTAGAAGAAAATGCGTTGGCTTCAAGGGAGGAACCCCTGAATCAGCATGGTGGTGGTGGTGGTGGTGGCGGTTGTCGTGGTGCTGGTGCTGGTGCTAGTGCTGGTGCTGGTGCTGGTGCTGGTCCTGGTGGTGGTCCTGGTGGTAGTCCTGGTGGTGGTCCTGGTGGTGGTGCTGGTGGTGCTGCTGCTGCTGGTGCTGCTGGTGCTGCTGGTGCTGCTGGTGCTGCTGGTGCTGGTGCTGCTGGTGCTGGTGTTTGTGGTGCTGGTGCTGGTGGTGCTGGTGCTGGTGGTGCTGGTGCTGGCGGCGCTGGTGCTGGCGGCGCTGGTGCTGGCGGCGCTGGTGCTGGCGGTGGTGCTGGCGCTGGTGCTGGCGCTGGTGC